GAAACGTTGGTTAACATCGACCAGACTACACAGCGCAACAACCCAGAAGACAGAAATCTTCATACTCATCGCCCTGATGACGGAGGCAGTATGACCTCCGAAACGTTGGTTAACATCGACCAGACTACACAGCGCAACAACCCAGAAGACAGAAATCTTCGGACTCACCGCTGTGGAAACCTCAAATCTTACAAGTATTCCACTTTCGAAATGCATTCTTAACTGTAATATAGAACAGAGTTCCCAGAATTCACCGGCTACTATAAAAATAATTGTGGATCCATCACCGGTAGGGAAATGGTTTTCTCTACATCGGCACATACAGACTACTGGAGGGCCCCGCCCAGTTACCCAATTTGGAGAGAGTTATTTCAAGTGTTAACCTGCCAGAAGTGTAACACTGACCAATCACTTCAATGTAATGCCAAGTTCTGGAATGTATGGAACATTTCCTCCACGTACACACTAGGCCGGATTCATTCACGGCGTGGCATTTACACAACGAGAACTTCGCCTTCATAGAGAAGATGAAACGAAAGTACGTAATTGTCACAATTTCACATCAGAAACAAAGTGGAGACACAACAGCCTCGGTGAAGTCGTTTAAATTTGTTAGCCACTCAGTCTGCTTCGCATAATAACGGCTTCCTTTAATGAGGTTACGCGGCCGCAAAACACTCAGCTGGTTCTTACTGGCATGATGAAGGTTGTTCCTACGAAATATATTACCCGCAATTACCAGAGGTAACCCATACTCCACTTCATATTACCTGAATCTGTATTACTACATAAAGGGAATCCTTCTTTGCGGTAAGCACTGACATATTCCGTGCACTACCAACGAAGAAAGGAAGGAAGGAGTGTGGCTATTAGCCTCAGCACTGCCCTCACGTGATCAGAGACAGTCACTTAGTCAGTCTGTTAGTTAATTCTTTAATCATCTCCGAAGAAGATGATGACGCAATCATCTCAAACCGAAATATTCGTAGGACACTGCTGTGCCACCTGTAAAACTTCTACACATTCAGAAGATTCGCAGATCGCAGCCAATCATGTGGGCGTGGGAGTGGAGTGATTTGTTCCACCTTCCACTTGGAAGGCTTTCAGAGTGCCATCTGTACAGAAGGCAACATCTGTAACATGAACATCAAAGATGACCGGCGACTGTTCCACGCTGAGAGGTGTGACGATCAGACATCCTTTCGGATGCTGCCAACACGGTATATATAGACGCAAACATAACAGCAACGTGAATCATCAAGAGGGCACTGGAACACAGACGATACTGCAGCTCTCGGAAATGAGACACATAGAAAGAAAGAACGAAAGAAAGAGGAAGGAAGATAGAAAGAGGAAGAAAGAAAGAAAGAAAGAGGAAAGAAAGAAAGAGGAAGAAAG